TCCAGGAGCCACAATTTAAACTCATGTCTGTCTTACTAGAGAGCCCATGGACTTAATTAGGACACTAACAGATTCTTCAGCAGAAATACTTCATTCTTGAGCAAAGCTTCTGCCCATGGAACCTGCTTCCCTGCTTTGCCTGCTGAACCAGTAGGAGAATCCCAGAAGAAAACTTCAAAGACTGCTTTACCTCTCCTTTATAGAGGCTGGAGCCCAAAGATGGCCATAAGCAGCCAGTCTCCAATTCTTCTCTCTTCTTGTCCCTGCCAGGTGACTCTAGTTCTGCCTAGAGAGTCTCTGCAATGCCCCCTCCTCCCCATTGAATTCACCTCCCAATGCACCCATTGCAAATTCCAACCAGAAAGGGAAGAGGTCAGGATTTCTTTGCCCAGAGAAATTATGATACTATTTGTTAAAAAATTCATTTTACGATTGGTACTTGGTCTCCATTCAAGTTGTAAGCACTTGGCAGTTACTTTCAGTCCCATCCTAAGAAATACAGTGTAGTGGGGGAGGGGGGGGCGGGGGGCGGGGCTGAAGGTAATAATGCGGTCTAGCACACCATAGCAACTAATAATCCAATAATATTTGACTTTCAGCCTCTTCTGTAACAATCTGACTATGCGCAGTCAAGCTCCTTCTCATTTCTTAGTCCTACAGATTTTCACATATTCAAAGAGAAGTGTGAGAGAGTTGAGGGATGAATGGCTGGAACACAGGGGATTTTTAGGCAGTGAAACTATTCTGTATGATACCATCAGGGTGGCTACACCAGATGATACACTCTTCAAAACCCATAGAACTATATGACAGAAAAAATGAACTCGAATGTAAACTAAACTTTAGTTAATAATACCATATCAATATTTCTGCATCAGTTGCAACAAATGTGTCACATTAACGGAAGACGTTAATAATAGTGGAAACTATAGGGAATTGGATGGGGGCATATGGAACTACACTTTCTGATCAATTTTTCTGTTATTCTAAAACTGCTCCAAAAATAATGTTCATTAAGTAAAATTGAGAAAGAGAGAGAAAAGCGTTAGTCCAAATTTCTGGCAAGGGGAAATGAAAACTAAAGACTGTAAGTAGCTGAAGGTGAAGCGGTTGGGGTCCTCCAAGACCCCTTAGTTATTCCTCTGCCCATTTCTGAAAGTGTCTGGATTATTACGTCTACCCATATAAACCAGCCATCTGGGCTATGAAGTGAATTGTATCCAAGAGTCTTGTGAAGGTAAAAAAGATTGGCCACCCCTCCCCATACCCCCCACCAAAGAAACCAATTTGACTATGTTTCGGTTTCTATAAAATGCACAGATGTGTTGGAATTTAGCTGCCTCCCTGGGGAGCAGTAAAGTGTTCTTCTGAAGTGTTTCAAGACTGGAGCATCCCAGGGCCTGGAACTGTGTGGGACACAAGGGAGGAGATAAAGCACAAATTGAAAAGCAGTATTACTTGGAAAATCATAGCTTAACACATGGGACAGGCAGTGTCTCCTCGTCTGCTAAGATTTCTTCCTGATTGCTCTCACAATACCTTGGGTCATGATATTAGGGGCATACCTTTATCTTCCTCTCTGTACACCTCAATCACATCTCCATCCTAGGGTAAGAGGAGGAAGATTAGGTGAAACCACATGTGTGCTCTTTGACAATAACTTTGCATGTCCTGTCCTCCAACACTTTAACTGTCAGCCTCAGTGCCAGCATCACCGTTTCCAGAGCCTACACATCTTTCAGGGTTTAGCTCGAACCCACCTCCTGAAACTCCATCCTGATAGTCATTTCTATCTCTTCTCTCAACCTCTCACAGAGCACTTTAGCTAGGCAACTCAGAGTTTAGAACCTGACCACCTGCCACTGTAGTGTAAGAGGTATGTGCAATTTACAGTCTTGCCTAACTTAAAAAAAAAAACCTACATATTTGTATCTATATACCTATCTAATCCTAAAATAGCACTTTTCTTTTTATATCTGTTAAAACTCCACTCCTATCAATCCTCAACCCCTGCCACTGTGTGTTAGTTGAAGACAAGGTGATGTATGTTGGAGATTTGAAAGAAAGAAAAAACTCAGGGGTTGGCTCAAAAAAACTCAGGGGTCAGCCCTGTGGTTGAGTGGTTGAGTTCACGTGGTCCACTTTGGCAGTCCAGGGTTTTGCCAGTTTGGATCCTGAGCACAGACATGGCACCACTCATCAGGCCATGCTGAGGCAGCGTCCCACATAGCAGAACAGAAGAGCCTGTAACTAGAATATACAACTATGAGCTGGGGGCTTTGGGTAGAAGAAGAAGTAAAGAAAAGAAAGAAGCCCTCTGTCTGCCCTATTTTCCTTCTTAATCAGGCCCCCAAAACCAAACTTTTACTATTACATTACTTAGGCTTAGTGGTTTGACTCTGAAATCACTCTGAGATAATTTTGTTTCGTTTGTCAATTAACACAGACCCTATCGTGTTATGTTTGAGATTTTGGGAGAGCTAGGTGTCTTGTTTCAATGAGGAACTTGAGAGTAGGTCCTCCTTTGTGACAGCAAAGCTGTGGGACAGAGGGCATAGGCCCTGTATGATTAGATCAGTTTGGAGCATCAGCCAGTGTTGGGCCCTGGAAAAGAACATGGCCCTGAGAGAGAAACAAGCATTTTGGGTTAAATTATTTGTTCTAATACTTCAAAGTCCTATGACCAAGTTTCTAAAGCTCCTTAAAACTCAATTTTCACAAATGGAGATGGGGTTTGTTTCTGTCTCCCACATATCAGTGAAGGCCACATAAGATTAATACCCAAGAAAGTTGTCTCGCAGTTGTTGCAAACTGTGAAATACTGGTATGGATTTGTTAGTGAGAAACCAAAGAGCAAATGACGCCATTTTCTACCTTGGGAAGCTAGGAAGTAGGGTGGGGGGGTGTAGATTCTAGAAATATAGGGAGGGGTTGTCAAAGTTTCCCTACTTCAGATCTTTGTCTAGGATTAAGCTGTTTGAAGATACAGAGAATTCAAAATGACTGAAACAAATCTTTGTAATTGTTTATTTGAATCTTTTTGTATTCTAGATAATGAGACTGAGTCACAGAAAGATTAGGTACAAGCCCAAGTTACAGTACATGAAACATAGTCACACTCATTTATCTGTGGTGGCAGCATTTGAAAAAATTTAAATTATGGGGCCTGATCTCAGGCAACTTTTTTCTTTATTGATTATCTTAGCCACAGGTTTTACTCTTGTCAGGGAAATTTTGAAAGCCATCTGGCAAAGACCTGTCAATTTGCCTCTCTGGTTTCCTGTATGTATTGATTCAACTCCTTTGCTTAATGTGAACACTGAATAACTCCAACACCATAGCTGGGTCACATCCATTTATGCTGTACTTTGCATTTATAAAGTTTTTGCTTTCTCCCATCTATATACTACAGAGGCATTTTCTGCAAAGGAGAAGGAGAAACTTGCCCTCCTCTGGAGGAAGATGTTTTTCTATAAACTGCTCTCAATCACATTCATTGTCCACAACTTATTATCCCATGAAGTTCTGTATCAATGACAGACTAAACCCAAGTCTTGTGTTTTGGTTTTTTGCGTTGTTTTTTTTTTTTTTTTTTGTCACAGAACTGACCAATAGTCAGTTACTAAGCATTTATTGAGAGTTTACTATGTGAAATGTAAAAATTCAAGAGGACGCATAAGACCCTGCCCTATTCAGGGATGCGAGCTCTGTACTGCACAAGATCAAAGGGGCTAGAATGTGGGGGAAACTGGACTCCAGCAATGACACATGGAGTTCAAGAGAGGGGTAATTGCAATAAATTTGGGAGTTCAGGGGAAGTTGCAAAGAGCTGATTCTGTTGAAGATGTCCTGAGGACTGTCAAGGTTTAAATCAGCAGTCAGGGAGAAGAGAATGTTATGGGTGGGACACTGGAAGGAACAGAGGGCCGGATTAGGCAAATCAGATAACAAGGTTGGTAAGAAGCCTGTTCTGGCTAGAATAGATTTGGTTGGAGGAGATGATGAAAGATGCGGCAGATAAACATTTTAGGATAGACTATGGATCACCATTCCTGCCAAGATGAGAAACCAGAATTTATGTTGTTAGCATTGATGTGTGAACAGCGGATGGGGTTTCAAAGGCTGGGCATGAAGCTAGAGATATTAGAGTTTGACTTTTGGCATATAAAGCCACCACCTGCAGGACTTGGGCAACTTGCTTCCTTTCATCCAATGTGAAATTGAATTAATAAAATCCCATATGTCTGTTATGTAAAATAAAGTAGGTGCTACAATAAAGTAGGTGATGAAAAAGAATTTTTTTGTTTGTCATATATTGGTATTGGTTTTAATTCTTATTTGTTTGGTTTGGGATAGCAGTCACGTTGATGTGCAATTGTTTTTCTCCTTAGCTTCAGAATATCCCTTAAAATGATATATCTTTTTCTACCTATTCTCACCACCCTGTTGGTTTTTGGAGCCAAATCTCCCTGATTATGAGATCATGGGCTTTGAATTTCAATTTATCTCTAGTCAGCACTTCTTTATATTTTAACAGTTACAACCCTCTGTCATTGTCTGACCTTGTGGCATTTTTAGAAATTAAAAGTCAAATAGTAAAACTTTTATAATGAAAAATGGAAAGAAATGTGCAAATAACTTTATTTTTATACTTAAAGAGAACAGCGGATTTGATGAGTAGATAAAATTGGCAACTTTAAGAGAGTTTTCCCCTTCAACAGAAATATTCCACTCATTGACCTCCTATGGTGCCTGAAATTCCACCATATGCTCTGCTCCTTAAGGAGCCATGGACCCAGCAGGAGCATATTGATACAATGATGGTTTTCACAGGATTATATTCCCTGGGAGGGGCAGCACATTAACCAGCCAACATACCAAAAGGATATGTGTCATCTCATCTCCTATTGGTCACACTCTCTATGACCATCCTCTAACATCATAGAAGTGCTTCAAAAGTGGCCAGTGACAAAATAAGAGGAATTGCAAATACTTAAAGTACTTGCTATATGCAAGGTAGGTAAAATTCTCATAGTCATTTTGGGAGATGGTTACTGTCACTAGCCTCATTTGACAGTTGAAGAAACTGAAGGAGAGAGAGATGTCTAACTTCTAAATAGTAAGTTATAGGACAAGAATTTGAAGTTGGGTCCTTTGGCTCCACATCTGATCATTAATTGTCCTGCTAAACTGTCCTACTCTATATAATGGTTGCTTATTTCCTACTCCGTGACCACTGATGGGAGCTTTTGGTGAGACATGAGGGAAATATAAGTAGATCTGATGACAGACAGAATTGCTTGCGTCTATAGTGAAAGGTTTTGGTTGTGTACATGGGTGCTATCTCCTCCTCCCCCAACTTTGGGGATGGGAATTGCCATGCAGGGGTAGTTTCACCTCTTAAAGGCTTTGTAAGGCTGTTAAGGCTGTAGCCTGATCAGGGGAAATTAAAGAAATTGGCTTCTTATGCCTGACCTTGTTCCAAACTTTAAAACTTAATGGCAAAGGAAATTTTCTTAAAGTATTTAGACTATACATCCAAGCTCTCCACAGCCCTCCGTAGTCTAAATCGTAGCCAGCAATGAAAAGTATGTATTCTGTTAAAGTAATTAAACAAGGAGACCATTAGGCTCAGGTGGCTTTAATACCATGGCAGCCTACATAAGCAAACCAAAACCTAAGCCAGATTCAATTCCTGTAAATGCCTCAAGATTAAGAAATCGATATTCAAGAACAACTAATCACAGACATCCTACTAGGCTTTCCCAAATAAAGCAACAGCTTCTGTCACAGCCAATCAAATACTTTCCTTGCTCTGCTTCCACGTCTGTTCTATAAAAACCCTTCCGTTAGCTCCTCTTGGTAGAGCATTCCTAACCATTTTCAGTTTGGCACTGCCTAATTTGAATAGATGTTTGCTCAAATAAACTCTTCAAAATGTTAATGTCCTTTCGTTTCTCTTTTAACAATTTGCATTGTACTAAATCTCCTGGTAGCCTAATTTTATCAGTAGATAACTGGACAGAGGTACCAGTACAAAAGAGGAAAGTCAATGTCCCACATCACTTATGATTACCCATCTTAAGGAAATGAAAACAAGATGGGAGAACTTTGATAAGGGAGAGGCTAAAAGACTAATGCTCAAAGGAACGCGAAAGTCCAGAATATTTATGGAGCAGAGCGTTTAAAATAAAAAGGGTTTCAAAAGGCAAGGGGAGAGGCTCTAATATATGGAGGACTTGGCCAGTCTGGGCACATGCTATTTGAAAGCTTAACACCCCAAAGATGATATGGCAATAATTGTGGAGACTGTATTTTCCAAAGATAGCCACAACAATGTCTCCCATCCCTCACTTTCTTCTGCAGTATAACCTTGCTGCTCCTCCATCAAGAGAGAGTCCATTTGTCCACCCCCTTGAATCTGGGTGAGATAGGACCAGTGACTGTGTTATCCAATGGAATATGATGGTAGTGACACTTAGAACCCAGTGATCATGCTGAAAAGCCCAAGGTGCATGGAGTAACCATGTATAGGTGTTCCTCTAGACAGCTCTGTCTCCCAGCTAACAACCAGCATCAAGTCCAGCCATGTAAGTGATTTATCTTGGTTATCTAGATCAGTATATCCTTCCAATGACTCCAGCTCCAGTTGTTGTCTGACTGCAACCACATACGAGGCCTTGAACAAGAACTGTCAAAGTAGGCTCAGTCAACCCACAGAACCCTGGAGACAATAATATATTGTGATTTTAAGCTACTAAGTTTTGGGGTGGTTTGTTATACAGACATAGATAACCAGAGCATTATTGCAACTGAAAGGGGCAGAGCATAACGCTACCCCAAGAGTTCCTAACGTCTAAGAACTAAGCAGAGGGAATTTTATGGTACTGATACATCAGCATATGGCATTTATGGAAACTGTGCTAGACATACCTTCGCCTTGATTGAAGTCCTGTGCCTTCGTTCTAGTCAAAACCAACACTCTCGCTGTCTTAGCACAGGAAGGACTTAACTTCTTCCTGAGATGTATGCCCTTGCTCTTATGAATCAATGAACTGCAAATTCAGGCTGGAGATCTTCAGTTTCTAGGTCCCACTGTAGCTCCCGTGAGAAGCGCTGCCTGCCCCAAGCCCACCTAACTAGCAATGAAGACCTGTCAGGACCATCAGGAGATGGGAATAATGGACAGGAGAGCATCTGAAACTCAACCCAGAAGCTGAGAAATCCACTTTCAACTTTCATTCTTCAAAGATCAGTGACCATTTTTCATGAAGAAGATAAAAATAAGTACAGCATTGACCAAAATAATACCTCCTAAGCCAGTGAATTATCTGGTGAATTTCTCAATTTCCATCTTCATCTTCCAAATTCCTTTTAAGTCATCTGCGGGTGTGCCATGAAAATTCAAACTAGGAATCTTGGAAACATGGCGGCTGATTGCTGTTGCATTTGGGCCTCTGGTTATTATCCATGAAGTCCTGTTTCTTCTACTCCCTTCCAATTCTCCTATGGTTTTGATGTGGCTGTTTGCAGCTTGCTATCTGTGTTCTCATCTCTGCTGCCTTCTAAGCATGTCTGATCATTTTACTTGTTTAGTTCAATTTATACATATTTGATCTTTTCCTTCTTTTATTAAATATCAGCAACAATGTGGTTAGTAGCACAAACACATTCGTGCTACCAGTAAGCTGAGGCCAAAAGCACATAATTTCTTATTTTCAGCGTCTTAAACTTCCATTTCCAGACATAATTTTGGAGAAGATCACACTATAATTCTAAGATTACCTTTCTTGTTAAAAGAAAGGTAAAAATGTGACCTGTGGGCAGCAATAATAGATCCTTTCTAGAAGTCATCCACTAAGGGAATTCTAAGTGTCCTTGGATACCAGATCCCAAGGCATCTAAATAAATCAAGTCACTTAGATACGTAAGGGACTTTAAAAATTATATACTTGAGCATACTCTGTCTTAAAAAGCACACTGTGGAGTGGTCCTGGAGGTTAAAAATTCCTGAGAAGAACTTTATTTAGGCATTGTGATTTAACATAGAGATGGAAGTGACGATCAAAAACTTAGAGCATGGCTAGAGTGATAGAATGAGCCTAGAATGAATACAGTTCAGGAGGGCAGGCAGGTATCTGGCTGGACCCTTTTCTAGCAGACAAGGCAGGCTGGGGGAGAGTGAGTGGAATGGGGAGGGGTGGGTAGAATTTAACAGCAGTATAATTGATAGCTCCCTGCTGTCTCTTGGCTTTGATGAAGATGTGAACTTATGCTCATGTCCTTGCAAAGAAACTGTCCTTTTTATTAAAAGCTGGTTCTTGAGGAAAGGGTCCAAGTTTTCTCTTTTACAACATCATTCAGTGTCTGTGTCCACCAAGAGCATCTGCTTCAGGCAGCTGAGAGGGCATGTAGGGCATTTCTGTCTTGGCATAACTTGTCAGATTTGATTTTTTAATCTCTTCCTGTGACCTGCTTTTCTCCACAAATAAGCTGCTTCAAAAAAACCAAAATAACACCCAGAAAAGAGATCATTTCATAAAATCCATACAGATCTTTAACTCCAAAGCTAAATCTAGAAATCAGATTGTGTTAGTAAATTACTTTTCCTGCTTCATAATATAGTTTTTGTTCTCTTTTGTTTTGTTGCATTCATGTGTGTGTGTGTGTGTGTGTGTGTGTGTGTGTGGTTAGGTCATCATGATGTTTTCCTTTTACTCATCAAATTATTTATTCTTTTCTTTAATTTGTTCTTCAAATGTTTACAGAGTACCTACTATGCCCCATGCACTCTTTTATACACTGAGACACAAAATTGAATAACACAAGTGTCTTCTGTACTCATAACCTGATCAGAGAGACAAAGAACTGGTAACAATAGAGGGTGAGGGCTGTGAGGGGAGCATGGGCTGAGTGCTATATGAGCACAAGAGAGGGAGTGCCCAACTCTTGTTGTAAGGGTCAGAAAGTCTTGGCAGGAGTGGCCACTGAAGAGAATTTTAAGGAATTTCCCAGGTTGGGAGCCATATTCCAAGGATGTGGTACATTTTAGACCAAGTAATGGAAAAGTAAAGTGTACGGTGCACTTGGGGTTTAACATGGCAAGGGACAGAGCCTCCTGGTGAAGAGCACAAGCTTTATGTAGGCTTGATCCCTGATCTACCACTTGCTTGTCATGGGAACTTAAATAAGACTCTGACCTCTCTATGCATCACTTTCCTCATCCGGCAATAACATCTGGCAATAATAATGGTATCTGCCTCATGAGGTTGTTCAGTAGATTAAAGAAGATAGTTGATGTCAAGTGTGTGGAAAAGTACGTGAGTCCATAAATCCTAGCTATTTTTATAGGTGAAATTAAGAGTCTGATTGGGAAAGAGACAGAGAATGAAATTGAAAGTAAGGAAGGAACAGAGTCTAAACTTTTCAGACTGTGGTATGAAGTTTGGGTTTTTATTTGTATCCAAAAGCATGCCTTGGAGATACTTTTAAAAAGGATGATGGTCCTATTAAATACTTATCTATTAAAAGATTCCTTGATGGTAATATATCCACAGGAAGACCAACTGTGATATTCCTGCAGTAATGCAAATAAGATGAATACTTGAACTAGAGAAAAGGGAAGTGAAGGAGGAATGTGGATATAAAAGATTATAAAGACAATCTAGAACATTGGGGACTATATTTTGGATAATAAATAAGTTTAAAAAATTGATATTCTTTTGTTTGCATAATTAGGTAGGCAGTAATGACAGTCATCAAAATAGGAAACTCAGGAAAAGAGCAAGTTGAAAATAGTATGATTTTTCAAATGTGATGTGCTTGAGGTACTTATGGGCTACCATGGTGGGAACCTATAAACAGATGTCAGGGGTTGAATATTTACTCAGCATGCATCTTGAAATGTAGAATTAGTAATCCTGAGTTTGAGTATAGTTAAGCTATAGAAAAGGTATGATAATAATCAAATTCGAATTTACTGAATATTTTCTATAAACTATCTCTGTGCGTGGATAATCCCACAAATTATACACAACAACCCCTGAAACAGGTACTGTATGATTCTTATTCCACACATAAATGGAAGTGTCTTTAAAAGCTTAAGTAACTTGCCAGGGG